ATGGTTTGTGTAATGATGCTTTCAGTATCTGTAACAGTATGGCATAGTGTGGTAGGATTATACTGTAACGGATTTGATCATCGTGTTGCCAGTCAACAGCTCTGTAAACACGGTCGAACACGAAACAGTAGATGAGGCTGTGTTTTCATGTCGTCCGCGCCACGCCCAGTGAACTCGCAGTCTGACACGTGACACGTGTTTTCTGTGTGGTCTGTGCCAAGCAACAGTAGAACAACGGGGTTATGCAATCCGTTTCTAGGCACCGGCTCTGTAAACACACTTCCGCACAATGACGTCAAATACCAACAGTGTTTAGCTATCGCGTGGCTAGTGTTTTATGTGGTCTGCGCTACGCAATAGCAGAAATGTGTTTTCTGCTAACTTTACCTTTACCCATTGTAACTTGAGTGATTTGTTTCATTCAAGACCACTGATAGAACGGAAATCAGAATTTTGGCCTCTACCATATCAGCCCCATGTGAATCTATACATCCACTCCCTCAGTACTTGTTCATGGCGTAATGCGTAATTAGTTAAGCATAGGGACAACCTTTACCATATCATCCCAAATACAAGGCGGTTTCTGGCCCAAATGCTGCTTCTTAAAAATGAGGGGTCGCCTTTCTTATGGGTCGTTAAGAATGATTATGAAGATAATGATTCTGAGGAGTTCTAAGTGCTAATTTTAACGATATTTGATAAACACTTAGAACTGTATTTAAGGTATTACTTTTGCATGTATTAATTAATAGTATAGTTTTTTTATTCTTTTTCCTTACAACCATCAGAACTAAATGACTTATTCAGTTTTGTCAGAAAACTTTTTTTATGATTTTCTGATTGGAAAAGTAGGGGGTTGACGTACATTCGTTCTTATGCAGTAATTAGCGATGACAGAATTCAGAGCTCATCGTGGAAGTTACAGCAGTGCTCAGTGAAAGAATAGGACGAATTCTATTATATATTTTTGGCAAACGGGAACACTCCATTGTGTATTCCATGTGCTGTATCGTATATGTATGTACAGGATTCGCCTAAATAATTGTTTGATTGATTCTTAGGTTTATCAACGCTTTTTTCTTTTGTACAGGCTACAGAGCGGGAGAAATGAATGCGATTGTGAATAATGAATCATAAATCAGGTGAAAGAAAAACACTTTGATCTGTTTCAGTGTAGTATATGGTCACTTGTGTCACGAGACAAATAAAACTCTTAAAATCTCAGAATAGACATCCTGGGGATCAAGAATGTTAGGCGGATCCGTTTCGAATACGACGGAGCTATTTCTAGACAAGTTAAGCTACTATTAGCTTCCCAGAGAAGGATTGTGGTTCATGGAGAAATTATGAAATGCAATTTTAAAACTGTCAAATACGAACTGTTGTCGGGATTTTAGTCTCTCATCGGGCGTTTGTGATAGTATTCGTATGTAGGCTTACGGATATCCTGTGCAAAGGACAAATACGCTGGAACGCGACCCGTAGATTGGCAGTGGTCCGAGAAGTCAAAAATCGATATTAAGGGAAGTAGGACACCATCTCCCATGTTATTGCTGCTGATAGACTGCAGTACTTAGTAGGCTTACTAGTGTTCGTGTTGTAGAACTGGAAAGACCGTTTCTGGACTGTGTAGGTTGCAGACAATGATTGTATTCTTTGCGTTTGAAGGACTGCAGATGGAATACCCCTGGGCATTTCTCTTAGCCAACTTTAGGTTCTTTATACCTGACTAGCCGAGCGACTTTCATATTTCCTGCTCCGTGTAATTAAGTCTGTAAACACTCAAATAAACTTGAATCATTTATCGGATTTTCATTAAATGTTATACAAACTTCATGACACTGAAAATTGTCACACATGCACAAGCATATCTTTTCATTTTATGCCATTAATAATACCAACTTGGTGCAAACTTCCGAGATAAGAGTGACAGAAATACGACTTGCTGTAGGATCCTAAAATGTTGTGTTGTATGAGTTTTTAGAAGATATATATAGCGAATCTGTGTGGCATAGTCTGGTCGCAAAAGGACATTCATTTACTTTCTCAAACAGTGGCACCATTTCTCAGGAGTGCACAATTCGAATCATTCATTTAATCATGGCTACATCTATGGCAAACCTGTAGGTGTCTGTGGGAGGAGATATAGAGTTGGTACTTCAGCATCACTGCTAAGATGTTGGTTTTTGAATTTCTAATGCTTTAACCCATTAGAACACAGTGGTTAAGATATGTACTACATGCATTAGCATTAAACAACTCATGCGTTTTCCTCACAGAGTGTATTCATTTCACATGATCCTCAGAATGATAAGCGACATTTTCTTAAAATGCGTTAATAAGCTGGTTTTATATACACGCGGCGTGTTTCCTGTGAGGTAGGAACTGAATTTATGAATATTATTTATAAGAGATTTATGCATTAGAACGTTAAATGCAACTTTCTTGACGCTATCCAGTTGCGGGATATATACTCTTTTTAGTAGTTTCTGTCGACTAACAATTTATGGTTAGTACATGATTCCAAAATCTTTTCAGTTCTTCCTTAGGTGACATTATCTGCTAGCAGCTAACCGACACTAAAGTTTTCCAATAAGAAATTCTTGCGTCAACGCTGCTTTACTAACTTAGCAATATGGCCGTTCTCAGCGCTGCACTATTCTTGTAGCTCGTGGCAATGAAAAGATGAACGCCATTTATTGGCCCAGAGGTAACAGTTTTATCCCCGAGACATGAGTCTTTCTGTTCCAAAACCCATCTGATTAAGTAGCTAATTAACTAGATAACTCCGTAAAAAGAATCCTTCTGTACTGCAACTGTTACGAAACCTTAAGGTTCACGACCATGTTCGCAACACATTGCCACTACAACCTACCATGTGCTATCTTAATACAGTTCTTATACCCTACTTCTTTGGATGCATTTTAATAATATTCTTCTAAAGGTTACACTGTACAAAACTACGATTCTTATGCCTTAATGTGGGTGTGAAGCTTAGTTTCTCGCCGTGAAGGAAACAGTTCTGAAACTATTGTTTTTATAAGAGGGAACCGAAATTTACGGCCGTGGGAATTCGTTGCGGTGACCACGCAACACCCTCTATCCGCTAAAGTTGGCACTAACTTCTCCGACAAGCGGCGGTCGCTCGGTCGGTATAGTTCGCTTGGGGACTAAAGCCATGGACATTGTTTGTTTGATTTATAGATATGTGGTCAGTTAAAGCAATGACTCGAAAAGTAAGTAAATTTTATAAGAGAATTTCAGTTAACATTTATACCTATTCTATGGATATGAGTATGATTCATATGACTTTATTATATAGTGTTCTAATTACATGTCAGATGTTAGGGAATCCTACAATAAGGGGAATAAATATGAAAGTCTTTCCCCTTTTTTTAGACCTCCAGAATACTTCACTGCTTGAAAAGGTGTGTGTTCCTCTGAAATAATGAATAGATGCGCCGCCTTTGAGTCGTTACGTCATGTTTTCTGTATTCACCACAGAAACGAAATGAAAATGTAATTACTTTTTAATTAGGCGGGTCTCCAAGTGTTCTGAAGGTATCTACTAGAGAAGCATAGAAATTGGCGCTGACTGAGATCTGTTCACATTCAAAATGTCCTGCTCCGCCGTACATTCCTTTCTGCCTTCTCTCCCTATCCCACTGGTTCTTCTTCTCCTGACCTACTTTGTTCTGTACCACCGAGTTTCGGGTTTAATTGCATTTTCCTCCCTACTAACTATATCTGTTTCACTCTTCCGAGGATCGGTTTCTTTGCTTCGTGCATGATAACAGTAGCTCGTTATTTTAACAGAAGTCTTTCCCGCGAGTAATTAATGGCCTGAATTAAAGATAAGTATGAGCTTCTATAGTTTAGACCGTATATTGACCAGTTAGAAGCTGGACGACGGTTTATATTGGCGGATGGAATGTTTCACTTCACCACGATGTCCAGACCCGCTCTCTGGTTTACCCAGTGGGCATTGTTGGTCCTTTCCGCTGGGATAAGGTGACCCGGGGACATGAAGCTGACCGGTATCCCATATAATGCCGAGGTTAATAAACTTTGGAGCTCTACCTCCATTGAGGGCCGGTGCGGTGACACAGGCGAACCAAGCGGCCTCCTGAGGCCACGTAATTTCAGCTTTACGTATGTTAATATCTATCTATCTATCTATCTATCTATCTATCTATCTATCTATCTATCTATCTATCTATCTATCTATCTATCTTGTCTGTCTGTCTGTCTGTCTGTCTGTCTGTCTGTCCGTCAATCCATCCATCCATCGATCAATAATCTGTGGCTCTACAGCCCTTATGTTAGGCCTTGGTCGTTTTTTTTCCAGTTTCTTGGTCTATGCACAGTCGTTGGGACTCTTTGGTCGGGGGATCAGCCCTTCGCAAGGCCGCTACCTACACAGAATAAACACACACAGACATCCATGCCTTGAATTGGATTCGAACCCACAATCCCAGCGTTCGAGCGAGCGAAGACATTTCTTGTCTTAGAACGCGCGGCCACCGTGATTGGTGTATGTTACTATTATGACTATTAATTGACAGTAATTTAAACTTGTTATGTCACAGTGTAAATAAAAATGTTTTAAGAATTATTATGGTTGATCTGTTTTAGTTAGGGGGAGGAATTTTCTATCAGCTGGGGCGGCATTTGTACTTGTGCCTGGTCTGTCTCCGCTCCGTGTTACCGTGTCATGTCTGATGCTTAATTAAGCACAGGGATAAATTTACGTCTTTGCAGACGTACGGATAAATGAGTTCAATAAGTGCTAATGATCGATAGATATGGTGGGGAGATGTAGCGTTTGTAGCCACCTGCTCACGCTGGTTCCTCGCTGGCGGATTTTTCTACCCTGAAGAAGGAGGCGGTACGTTCCTCCGAAACGTCGGTTTACACAAGATGTAAACGGCGTCACATCCCAGAAGACGTAATTCTTGATACAGATACATATTGTCATGCTGTTTGTTTCTTTGTTACAGTTTTATTCGCTGCTGGAAAACAGCGCCGTAGCAAACATCACGCTGCAGTTCCGACAGGTGACTCTGTTCGCGCCCACGAACTTTGCGTTCCAGACGTACACCGGCAGCAAAGATGACCTAATCCTCTACCACATGAGTAAGTTAAGAAGTAGAACAATATATTCTGCTGCTTATTCTTGCAATAATGGAACCTCATTCATTACATTCCTTTCAGTATTACTCAGCGGAAGAAATACCGGAAGATCGGGAGAGAGATACGATCTTAAATATGAGATTGACAAAAAATACTCCACAAGATTTTCTTGTCGTTGCAGTAACCTTCCTGATTTTTATTATAAAAATTTCATTCTTGTTGTCCATAATATTTTTTTTAATCATCCATAAAAGGTACAATTTTACGCGCAGTAATCGCAAGTCTACCTTAATTTTTTTTTAATTCGCTTAGTGGGGGGTGGAGTCCAACTGGGTCCACTCGGCACGGAGGCCACTGATTGACCTATTGTAGCCTGCCCCGGGTGATTATGATGATGGAGAATTTGGTGGAATGATGATTGGCAGGGGAAACCGAAGTACTCGGAGAAACCCTGCCCCTGAGCCATTTTGTCCACCACAAATCCCACGTGACCATACCCGGGATCGAACCCGGGCCGCCTCGGTGGGAAGCCAGAGACTAACCGCTTAAGCTTTGGCGCGGCCCTTAATTGCCTTTCTTCGCATTTGACGATAACGCAGGGACAGTGCAGCCTCATGAATTATCGAGGTCTCCTTTAAATAAGACAAAATATTAGGACTGTTTTTTAATTGCTAGTGGGGTGGGACTAATTCCCTTGTACTGCGGCCACTTCTGGCCTGTTGTACCAGCCCCAGATGATAGGTGAGGGTGATTGTGGAGCAGTTGGTGGAATGAAGATTGGCAGGGGAAGCCCGAAGTACTCGGAGAAAACCTGCCCCAGCGCCACATTGTCCACCACCATTTCCACTTTATCAGACCCGGGATGGAACCCGGGCCGCTGGGGTGGGAAGCCAGCGACCAACCGCTTGAGCTATGGCGCAGCCTATTAGGACGTTAAAATCGAAAATAATTCCTCTGACAAGTCATGCAACTCTCGTGAGAGACATTGGATGTGCGTACTATTCGTGGGCTGTAGTCAGGAAGCCATAAGGCCCGGAAAGAAGTTCCATAAGTAAGTAAGTAAGTAAGTAAGTAAAGGCCTCATTCATGACTAGTTGTCATTAAAATGACAGACTACGAAATCGACAGCTGTAGTTTGATTTCTGACATAAGCATGGAATTCTACCCTCAACATCATATCCAAATCGGCTTCGTGGACTACCCAGCCTCCTATACAGTTGGTAGTAGGGATAAAACGGCCGGAACATGATACTGGTTACTAACATTTATCTATAGTTCTAGGTTACTATAAAGCAGTCATTAAGTAAGCATATGAGAATAAATACTAATTTTTTCTTTCCTTAGCACTACAGCCCCAGTGGGCCTAGGCCTACCTCCATGAACTTCTCCGTTCACTTCGGTTTTTCTAGACCTTACACATTTGGTAGGACTCCTTGGGCGGGTGATCAGCTCGTCGCAAGGCCTCTACCTGTACACAAACACAGAAAAACGCACACAAACATCCATGCCCTGAATGGGATTCGAACCCACGATCCCGGTTTCCAAGCGAGCGAAGACAGTGTATGCCTTAGACCGCTCGCCTACCGTGACCGGCTAATACTGAACTCAGGGGGGATTTACTCGTATTAAGCGGCTCTCAGCTTCCCAATAAGTTCTCTGCTCCTTGGAGTTGTGCAGTAGTAGTACGTTCCTATTGTACTCGTAATTCTGATTACATCTAACTTCCTCCCTCCCTCCCTCCCTCCTTAATTTATTTTAACCGCCGTCTCTTGATAACATGTTCATCAAACGGCCCTATAATCTTCGGTTTCCCGAGGGAAGAGTCAATATTTGTGCTTGTAGAACTTAGTTCTCCTAACTTTCTCACCCAAGCCACACTTTTAGTCTCGATGTATGAATGGGGAAGTATGTAATGTCAACCCACCATAATGAATGAGATATAGCATTTGCGTATGCCAAATATTTTGTTGTAATGATGGTTTTCTCACAGCTATTTGGAGAATGGGATTCATACGAGTATATACACTTGGTCGTCGACTTACGACCGACTTCCGTTCTGACTGACAGGTCGTATGTCGGCCATATATTTATTAACAGTATTTTTTAATCTTTCTAATCTTTTTAATCATCTTTGTAATTTATTTTTAAAAACTTTTACATTTTACATCTTTTATTTTTCATTTTTTTCTGGTCGTAAGTGCGGCCGATCGTAAGTCGCATAGGTCGTAAGTCGACGACCAAGTGTATTGTATCATTAGGTATTCTTCTTCATGTAAGAGATTGTATTACTTTCTGAAAACATTGTACCCATAGTCATTGGCGTGAAATGCATACGTACAATTATGTGAATACTGTAGGGGTGTAGAGTGCCAACTTTAGCGGATAGAGGATGTCGCGTGGTCAGCGCAACGAATCCCTACGGCCGTTAATTTCGGTTTTCTATACCGGAACCGATTTCCTTAGTGGCTGAGTGGACCCTGTTCTAGACCCACTATTTTTAAGCAAATCTGGTAGCGCCGGGAATCGAACCCGGAACTTCTGGATCTGTAGCCAGGAACTCTGACCACTAGACCACAGAGGCGGTCGCTCGGTCGGTATAGTTCGCTTGCGCACTGAAACCACGGAGTTTTTTTTCTTTCTGTTTTTGTAGGAGTGTAAAGAAGCTCCATACTTTTGGAGTTAGAAGACCCAGAGGAAGCACACATGTTGAGTTAAAACTATACATACCTTACCAACTGGCTCTGCAGTCCTTTGTGGGCCTTGGCCTCCTGCACCAATAGCCTCCAAGTATCTCTGTCCATCGCAGTGGATCTCCAAACTTTAACTCTGAATATCCTGAAGTCTTCTCTGATAACCTCAAACCACCTCAATTTTGGTCTGCCTCTAACTCTTTTAGTATAGATCTTCTCATACAAGACTTTACGTGGCATTCTGTTAGAATCTATTCTTTCTACGTGTCCCAGCAAGTCGATTCTTCTTGCTGTTATAAATTTAACTATATCTTATTTCTTCATTGTTTCAAATTCTCCACCGCTCTTCTTGTTTTATTGGCCCATATATTTTCCTAATAATTTTTGTTTCAAATATTCTTTATATATACAGTGTCAGTACAGAACTCATAATTCTATTGTAATGATTCCACAATAGAACTCCCCCAATAAAATTAAATGTTTTTATTTATAAAATGTTTGTGTGTCACTTAGAAGTTACGCTTCCGCCACTGGTTTCTGTGAAGTTTATCCCTATAAATTATATGGCCGTATTATGAAATGACGTGACAGGGAAATTAACGAAGAATGACCCACAAAATTTCCCCAATGTAATCCTGACCGAACTTTACGCTGCTGGTGTAGAAACTGTTAATGATGTGCCACTCCACTGGGATTACGCAGTTCTCATCTCATAGCTCTCGTTGCTGTGTTCTGAGTCTCCAGTATACATTATTCATACAGCCATCGCCACGTCGGGTCACATTCTGGCTTTTTGGCAAAATAATGTCATACAGTGCCAGATCGCATGAAGTTCAGTGTTATAGTCTTGAAATTCTTCAGTGACCACTGAAGAAATATTCTGATATAGAAAAAGAGAAAAACATTGGGCATCTTCTTCACACTCACCTGTGAAATCAAATATGAGTAATAAATGTTTGTAGCCACAGAGTCAGAAGCCTAACTCACTCGCTTCACGGCACAGAATTCTTGAGAAGCTGATAATTGTGCAGCTGGTCAGGAATTTCCCATCTGTTATGGCTCCCATAGTTTTACTACAATGCCCACTGGATCTTATTCTGAGCCAGCTGAATCTTGCCTAAAACTTCACACCCTATGGTGCTGTGCCGCCCAGTGGCGTTTGGAATTTGGAAGGTGCAGGAAAATATTTCTGTAAATATGATAGTGATAAATCGTAGTGGTTCATCGCACAGTATATCACTTAAGCTCCCACAAAAGAACTCCGTGGCTTGAGTCCGCAAGCGAACTATCCCGACCAACGACCCCCGCTTGTCGGCGAAGTTAGTGCCAACTTTAACGGATAGAGTGTGTCGCGTGGTCAGCGCAACGGATCCCCATGGCCGTTAATTTTGGTTTTCTAGCCCGGAGCCGCTATTTCTTTGGAATAGCTCCTCACTTATCATCATGATGCTGAGTGGACCCCGTTACAGATCCACTACTTCTCAGAAAATCTGGTGGCGCCGGCAATCGAACCCGGGACTTCAGGATCTGTAGCCAGGAACTCTTACCACTAGACCACACAGGCGGTCTAAGCTCCCACAACGCCCTTACAATAGTGAATCATGTTGATAATTAATCCTTGACTACAGACGAATCCAAAATCAAAATTGTTGAGTAGGAATGCATGGATGAACGACACAGCGCACAAAGAGTTCTGTCTTCTGGGATGTTACTTCCATATTCAGGGTCGAAGAGTAAGCCAAGCACGAAACTTAACTGACTACACGGTGTTATATCCCAGGAAGTAAAACTCTTCATAAACATCGCTGTGAGAACTTCAAATCCTACAAACAAAATGTACATCTCGAATCAACTAATGGCCATATAAAAATTGACACAAATTTTGAAAACAGAAACAAGGGAATTTGTCGACTGACAATGCAGAAAGATTCCCTAAGTTAATGGTGACTTGAACAAGCAGCAGCTCCCGAAGACGCTATTGGATCGACGAACTATCCAACTCCTTAGCAGTCATCACCACATCATCANTTATAACAATTAAGGTACTTTCGCATTGTTATTGACGCCAGATATCAGAATGCGCACGTTTGATGATTTGTTGTATTTTACGTAAAACAGTCGGAGCGTACGAAGATAGATCTTCCGAATAACCTTTGATCGAAATCAATTAAGCGGTTCTGGACTTAACAGTGTAAACACGTAACCATATAACGAGGATCTCACACCGTGACCCTGCGAGTCGTAGGAGGCGACAAAAAGGGAAGTCTCAGATATGAGAAAGTAAAATATGGTCGCGAGTCCAAAGGGCCAGCA